ATTTTTTTCTTTTACTAAATTTCCCTTGCATAAATAAAATAGAAGGAATTTTTTTAAAGAATCCTTTGTCTTCTAAATTTCCCTCATGTTATTCATTTTTTTAATTCGGGTTTGTAAACCCCCCGGAATACAATGGAATCCATTTTTTTTATGGTATTACTCGAGCAAAATTTATTCCTGGTAAAAAGTTTTTTTTTTCTAACCTAACTAGGATTTTCTGACTGAAAAATTCGTTGTTTTTTTATGAGATTCATGTGAAAGAATAATACTCCGCCATCAAATGTTTTTTTTGGGAGCCTTAATCATTTATGAGTGTGGGTCAGTAGCAGTTTTTTTTGGAATAACGAGGAAGAGGATTGGCAAGATGTTTAGCTAGACCGCTTTAATCACAACCTGTTAATACCTCATAATCTCTTCTGTTCAATTTTTTTCTTACTTCTACCACTTGATCATCGATTTTAGGTCTTCTTATAGTGTGCATGTAAGTATATCTACCTGCGAGAATAGAATGTGAAAGTTTTTTTTTACAACAGTAATAGAACTTCATAAAAGTGATGTCAAGAAATTTTTTTTGTTTCAAATGTCGAATGAATAAATTCAATCAAATATAGATTTTTTTACCCGGTAACGGTAACTTRATGAGAAAATTAATAGAGAACTTTTTTTATAAATAAATAGTTCTGAACACAARTAACGCAGGCTCAAGTTTTTTTGAAAGTGAGTGACTGAGTGAGTGATTGAGTGAGTGACAGATTTTTTTCCCTCCAATAACTCTTCGATTGCTTCGCAATCTTCGAGTTTTTTTTTCACCAGTCGCGGTATAGTCACACTAAAAAATGCCGACCGTTTTTTTTAAGGGCATTTGGAGAGATACCATGAATTTATCGTAAARCTTTTTTTTAAGTTTATTTTGCTGTCTATCGATCGCAGTCTATCGAGAATTTTTTTATCGCGAACTAGCATATACAGGCTCTGAAACTACAAAGGATTTTTTTAAGSAATACAAACARAATTCTACCAAGGACAAACCGACGATTTTTTTTATTTTATTTAACGGAGAAGATAAAAAACTCTGTGTTTATTTTTTTTCATGTGACTGCTATCCCCTGCTATCCAAGTGAGGACGCGGTTTTTTTCCAAAGATTTAAATAAGTTCCTAATAATTCGTGTATACAATTTTTTTGACATGATAAAGTTCCTCTTTAAAAATGTTCACTGACTAGTTTTTT